AACAACATTTTAAATGTAGCTATTGTCTGGGGAGGGGCTGCGGTGGCTCAGTGGTTAAGATGCTTAGCTGCAGACCAGAAGGTCAGTAGTTCAGCAGTTCGAGACCCGAGTGCCGCGTGATGGAGTGAGCTCCCATCTCTGGTCCCAGCTCCTGCTCACCTAGCAGTTCGAAAGCAAGAAATGGCAAGTAGATAAATAGGTACTGCTTTGGTGGGAAGGTAACAGCGTTCTGGGCGCCTTGGCATTTAGTCACGCTGGCCACATGACCACGGGAATGTCTTTGGACAGTGCTGGCTCTTTGGCTTGGAAACGGAGATGAGCACTGCCCCCTAGAGTCGGATTCGACTGGCTTTCGAGCAAGGAAAACCTATTGTCTGGGGACCCAGAGCCCTGGTTCATTGCACCACATGAAACCATCACCATCGTAGTGGACTGCCCTGTTGCCATAGTTGGTAGACTAAAAGGGTGGCAAGAGAGACAAATTCCCTTAGTTGACAAATTTAAGGAGAGGGCTTTCTCAGCCTTATACACACACACACACACAAACACACACTGATATTCAATTTCTATGTAAAGTCCTTAGGAGAAATTATTTGCAGTTTTGGAGAAGGCTGGCATCAATATACTGATGAGGCCCAGCTCTGTATCTCTATCCAAATAATCTGGTCTTTCTATAGAAATCATGAACCAATGCCTTACAGCTGTGGTTAAGTGGCTAAGGGTGAACAAGTTGAAACTCAATCCTGATAAGATGGAGGTAGTGGTGGTTGGGAAGGCTGAGGTCTTGAAGGACACTGAGGTTCCCACATGTGATGGGGTTCAGATGACATTCTGATTCAGTGAAGAGATTATGGGTTATACTGGGCCTAGTATTACTACTGGAGAAGCAAGCCAAGGCAGCTACAAAAATAGCATTTTGTCAGCTTCATTCAGTCTGGTAGCTGGCTATGTGGATCCATGACATAGTTACCTCCAGGCAAGTCTACTGTAATGTACTCTACACATGTCTTCCCATTAAATCAACTCAGAAATGCCAGTTGGTACAAAATGCAGCAGCCCGATTACTAGAAGGTACTAGGCAGAACATGCATATCACACCTACCCTGCAATTGCTCCATTGGCTACCGATCAGCTAACAGGCTCCGTTCAAGGAACTGGTTGTCACCTACAAGGCTGCTCATGGCCGAAGACCTACATACCTGTGGAACTGCTTTTCCTGTGCTCCACCATGGCAGCTCTGGTCATCTAAATAGCATCTTTTAACAGTCCCTCCATGCAAATGGGTAAGATTGGCAACCACTCGCTTATGTACATTGTCTGTGGCAGCTCCCACCTTGTGAAATGGCCTAAGGAGGTCAGGAAGGCTCCCACAGTTCTATCATGTCACAGAATGTGCAAAACAGAAACGTTCAGGAGATCATTCTTGTAATGGAATTGCTCTATAGTGGGGCAGAGCAATCCAGAAGGGTCCCTTCAAACGGAAGCGGGTACTGCATTGCCTGTACCTTTGTAATCCCACATTCTGCATTGCTTGCACTATGCTGGGCTAGGAAGTTGGCAATTCACCTAGAGTACTGTGTTCAGTTTTCGGCACCACAATTCAAGAAGGATATAGACAAGCTGGAACGTGTCCAGAGGAGGGCAACAAAGATGGTGAGGGGTCTGGAGACCAAGTCCTGTGAGGAAAGGTTGAAGGAGCTGGGTATGTTTAGCCTGGAGAGGAGACGACGGAGAGGTGATATGACAACCATCTTCAAGTACTTGAAGGGCTGCCATCTAGAGGATGGTGTGGAGTTGTTTTCTGTTGCCCCAGAAGGTCGGACCAGAACCAACGGGTTGAAATTAAATCAGAAGAGTTTTCAGCTAAACATTAGGAAGAACTTCCTGACAGAGTGGAATAGGCTTCCTCGGTGGTGGTGGGCTCTCCTTCTTTGAAGGTTTTTAAACAGAAGCTAGATGGCCATCTGACAGCCATGCTGATTGTGTGAAATGCTGATTTGCCACTTTGGGGTCAGACAGCAATTTTTCTCCATGCCAGTTTGGCCAGAGATCCTGGAAGGTTTTTGTCATCTTCCGGGCATGGAACAGGGGTCACTGGGGTGTGTGTGTGGGAGGTATCTGTGAATTTCTTGCATTGTGCAGGGGGTTGGACTAGATGATCTTGGAGGTCCCTTCCAACTCTATGATTCTATTTAATTTTGTATTCCTACTCCTATTGCATAGGTCAATGTTGTTATATATCTGATAATGTATCGTCACATTGTGGCCCGCTTTGTTCAATATTGTACTCCTAGTCCTATTGCAGTATCCATCAACAAGCAGCGTGTGCCGACGAAAGGATCCATCAAGAAGCCCACCTATGATCGCCAACTACCTGGAGCACCGAGACTACGCCTGGAGCCGCCGAGAGTGAGGAAGAATAGAGAAATCCGCCGTCTGGGTGCCGCTAGGTAACCCCCCGCACAAATTGTGGCCTTAGTTAGGTTCGACTACAGATGTCATGAGCGGTATAGAAATCACATGTAAATAATAATAAAAAAAATTACTTTCTCTACAATTTTTCTGAAGACTTTTGTTTGTTTCTTATGGCATTCCCTCAATGATCCCTCCTTTCTAACCAACTTTTAGTTGCTGTTGTTATGTTCTGTATGTATTTTAAGTCTGTATTTAATTGTGTTAATGATGTGTGTTGGGGGGAGTTGATTTTAATGGTTTAAAATGTGATTTTATCATGTATGCTGTAAATTGGTAGCCATCTTGGTGGCCCTTGTAAGGGCAGAAAGGTGGGATACAAATCTTGTAAATAAATAATCTGCCTGGAGTCTCAGTGAGAAGGATGGGCTATAAATAAGCAGAATAAATGCTGCAGTGGCTTCAGAACACTTCCTGGAGGAAAAAATCTCACTTCATTCTTATTGAGATAGATCAAGATGGGTAGCCGTGTTTGTATGCAGCAGTAGAAAAGAGTAAGAGTCCAGTAGCACCTTAAATACTAATAAAATTTGTGGTAGGGTATGCGCTTTCGTGAGTCAGATTATTAGAGAAGGGGGAGAGGGAAGAAAGCAAAGTGGGGGAAGGGATGCACCCTCCCTGCAATTTTCTTGTGGATCCCCACTTGTTTTGTTCTGTATTCGAAAAGAGATTTTTTTTCTTGGTTCCCCCCTCCCCCTTGGTAGAGTGGTCTTTTAATAGCTGGCAACTTTTGTTTAATATCTGGCCTTTTCTTTTCTTAGAATGATGCTGGTTTTAATGCTGGAGATTTATGATGGGCTAAGAGAGATGGCCGAGTGCCGAAGAATAGATTCTTTTGCACTATGGTGCTGGAGAAGACTCTTGAGAGTCCCTTGGACTGCAAGAAGATCAAATCAGTCAATCCTAAAAGAAATCAACCCTGACTGTTCCCTGGAAGGCCAGATAATGAAACTGGAGAAGACCCTGATGCTGGGAAAGACTGAAGGTCAAAGAAGACGGGGACGGCAAAGGATGAGATGGTTGGACAGTGTCAGCGACGCAACGAACATGAAATTGAGCCAACTTCAGAGGACGGCGGAAGACAGGAGGGCCTGGCGTGATCTGGTCCATGGGGTCGTGAAGAGTCGGACTCGACTGTGCGACTGAACAACAAAAGAGAGATGAGGGCAACATGTGGGCTGAGGATCTTGTATTGTAATGATATGATCTCAGTCTCTTGGTTTGTTCTATCCTGCCATGAAGATCCATTTTATGGATGGAAGGGGCGGGAAGTACATCATTTCAACATATAAATTAGCCATTCTCAATTCTGCTGTCGTGAAAGTGGCACTGGGTCATCCATACCTCTAGGCCCAGAAGTACATGAGAATACAATCACCTAGTATGGCATTAGTGGAAGTTAACTTGTTCTGATGCTGAGATGGCCTATGTGCCTGGGAAACAGTTGTAGCCCTGAACACTTCCCCACCAACTGGTAAAGGAGACTGTTCTTGTTTCCCCCTCTCCTTTTTAGATTCTGCCTGCTTCCCTTACCTGTATAGCCCTGCCCTCTCATCTGAGCAATTATTTTGAGTACTTCAGTGAAATGCTTGGGTGTGGGGTGCTCCAGGAACCCAATAATGTTACCAGGAATAATAATAGTATTTATGCATAAAACACTTTAACAGGATTCAGCCCTGTACAGTCCTGCCTGCAGTGTACAATCATTAGACTTAAGATAAGCTAATTAGAAAAAGGGAAGAGGAGGAGAGGCAGAGATCGGGGGGCAAAGGGCTGGTGAGCAGAGATTAAAAAAAAAGGGGGAGCAGCAGCCAGGTGGGCTGCTGTGAAACTGCTCCAAACCCACACACACTGGCACACAGAAGAGTAGAGGCATGGATGAATTATGAGCTGGACAAAATACAAAGCAGAGTGGGAGCCGTATCAAGCTGCGGTGTGAAGGTTTGGACGTAACTGCATGTGTAAAAATTTAGCCAGAAACTGCTGACTGGCCTGCAAACCAGGGTTTGTAAACAGAATATAAACATAAATAAAACAGAATTTCATAAACCAGCAAGGATGCTGAAAACTGGACCCTTCTAAATGCCCTCTCCAAGAAAGGAAACGGTACCTAAAAATTAAGATACAACCTTTTCTATGAAAAAGTATATTTGTTTATTCTTCAGAGATCACAAATTTCAACTTGTAAAAAAATAGTAAAAACCCCAGACCAAGCTAACAGATAATAGAAAGTCTACAATGCTACAATGTAGCTTACTGCAGTGGACAAGGCCTGACCCACAGATCAATTTAACAACACAACAGGAAATGCTACAATGTAGCTTACTGCAATGGACAAGAGGTTACCCATAGATCAATTAAAAAACACACTACAGGCAGTGTTCCCTCTAAGCCGAGTTAATGTGAGCTAGCTTACCATTTTTTAGCCTCCAGCTCACACATTTTTGTCTTAGCTCAGGAAGGGATGGCTCCAGAGCAAACTAATTTATGCAGTAGCCACATCGCTCACTCACAACTTTAATGCCAGTAGCTCACAAAGTAGATTTTTTTGCTCACAAGACTCCACACCTTAGAGGGAACATTGACTACAGGATGTTCTGGCTAAGGATTGGGATACTCAGGTTAGAGGTTCCAATCCACTGGGTTGTGCACACATGGGGCTCTGTTGAAAAACGAGATTACCCTGTAACAAACCATTTTGGGACCTCTTTCAGTCTTATGAGTCCGAGTCATGTAGGTGGGTCATTTTATCATTCCCATATATAAAAACCACAGATATGCAGTTAGGGTATGTATAAACCCCTGCAGGGATTTCGTCATACATGCGTTTGTGACAAAAAGAGATACTTCAGTAATCTCAGCAATAAGAAAGACTCTAGCCTGGGAATAAGGGCTGTCATCACTTAGCCTAGTTGTCTTGGTTTTCTCAAAGCCACAATGGAAGAGACCCGGGGAGGGCTCAGAACAACAAAATCCAAGAACCACGGGGTGCTAAGGCAAGCCCTGCCAGATAATTCATGCTTTTCAAGCAGCAAAAAAATGAGGGGGAAAACTCCAAAGCAAACCTGCAGCTTCACAAAAGGCAATGTGAGACTTGACATTCACAGCAAGGATGACAAAAAGGAAGGTAGAACTCTGTGACAACCGAGGAAAGCTATTAATGTAATTGCGTTCAGTGGAACTGCTTAGTCCAATAAGATGCTTCTAGTGCAAAGGGATTTTGAGTGAAATATTCAAGAGATGTTTCAGCAGCTGCAGCATCAGTTCCTGGGCCTCATATGTTAGGTTCACATTCAGAAGTCGTTTAACAAGGATCACAACTTGGTTTCCTCACTTCTCATTGCCAGCAGGGTCCACAATCATCAATGAATGGGTTTCCTCGTTATTGGCTGTTTCATGTGTGGGCTGGTTCTAGGGATGAAAAACAGCAATGAAAGCCTCTGAAAACAATGCAATACTCTGTACTACTTCCTCTTTATCGGGGCCACTTCACAGATTTCAGGACAAGTTTTCAATCGTTAACGTAGGTCTTTCTACAATGTGCACAATAATTGGTAGGTGGAAGACGTACATATGTAAATACACAGGAAACATGCATCTGGGGCCAAGTTATGTTTCTCAGTGCATATTTCACTCCATGAGTCTCCCCCCTTCATGCACCAAAACATTCCTTGCAGAATCATGGAAAAGGAATGACTAGCAGCACCTTAGTTTAATTTTTGAGAGACCAGCCAGAAGCCTAACCAACCAGGTATTACTCACTTCATTCTGCTCTTCAAACATGTGCTTCAGAATCTTTTCAGGGTCAGGAATTTTTGGAAGAATCCACAGCTTAATCCTTTATAAAACAAAATATTAAAGTGTGTTAAAACAGCAGATTTTTTGTTTAATTAGATTACCAATATTTAAAAGCTGTGCTGAGGATTTATTTATGTAAGATTGTTGCATGTCAGGACTATGAAGAACCCTGCGAGATCAGACCAAAGGCTCATTTACCCCAGCATCCTGTCTCCCAAGTGGCCAGTAAGATGCTTCTAGGAAGCAGACATGTGAGACATGGATGTGAGCTTGCCCCTGCTACTGGATACACACCTATAGAGCATTAGAGTGAAAAGCAAAAACCCAGTTTGATCTTGCTATCCAAAAACATTTTGCTCAGCTCTCTATAGGCCATAAACTCTCATTTTAATCAGATTTGGATTTCAAAAACTGAGTTTGGGACTGAGCTATAGTAAAGCAAGAAGCAAATTATAATTCCATATATATTTCCATTTGTAAAAATTCTCAGCCTTAGCCACAAATAGTCCCCAGCAGGAAAGATTAAACAGAAATGGTCCTACAGCAGAAAAGACAAACCAGAAGAAAAATTTATGTTAAAGTTTATCTCACCTCTTCAAGTAAATTAGTAGAATGACCAACAGCAGAGCCACACATAAAGGAATTAAAACTAACAAAAGAAGAGACTTGGAAGTTCTACCATCTGGAAAAAAGATAAGCAACAACAAGCAGTTAGGCACCAAACTGCAGCTTTCAAATGGAACAGTTGTAGGAGGTAAATAAAAGCCAAATGTTATTTTCCCCTGTTATATCCTTAAGACACATGTAGATAATGGAGGAAAGATGGCTGATTATTTGAGTTTAGAACTGGTTTAGAACACAGAACTGGTAAGAATTTTGGGAGCCAGTCTCATGCTTCATCTAATTTCCCCAGGTGATATACAAAGAAGGCCTTCGGGGAGGGCGGGATATAAATCCAAAAATAAATAAATAAAATTTTAAAAGGCTTTCTCTGTAGCATCTCCATGTTCCTAGCTGTGTCACTACAGTCTAACAGCAGTTTGTGAAGGTCACAAACAGAATCCCCCCCAACCCTGCTATCTAGCATCTTTTGAACTGGAGATGCCACGGTTTGAATCTGAACTAGGGATGTGTGCTCGGATATAACCAAGCTGAATATATAACCGAAAAAATGCCTTATCAGTATTTTCTGGATATATTCGGGTCTCCGAATGGTAACCAGGATTTTCTGTGATATCAATAAATGAGTCCCAAAAAATCCCACAAGCATTCGGGATTAACCAAGCGTATCGGCAGCATTTGAAGACTGCCAGGACTGTTTTTTCTGTTCTGTTTTTCCCCCCCCCCAGGAGTGTCTGTGTCTTCTCGGGCTTGGTATTGGGTTGCAAGGTTGATTTGTGTTAGGTTATGCCCTTGTAAATTGTTTTTGTAGAGTTTGCAAAGCTGTGTTCTTTGCTTGAGTTGCTTTGTGTCAGGTTTGCTTTTTGCAGTGGATTCTTAGGTTTCACATTATATTCTTGGGTTGTGCATTAACATAGGTTCTTGGGTTTTACATTGCTCTAGAGTCCAGGGCTGTATACTGGCTGGATTCTCTGATTTTACATTTGCTAGGCTTGCAACAGTTTTCCTGTTCTGCGTAGCTTGGCGATTCTTGTGTTTTATATTTTTTTCCCTATAGGAACCAATGAAGGATGGCTGGGGGCACCTCATTCAGGAGTTATGTATAGGACAGGCACCAGCAGCTTTGCTGAAATTCTGGTGACAGCAGCCAACAGCTTCTCCAGCCTCCTGTAAAGATTCCCCATTGGGAATAACGGAGCCAAAAAATATTAGAATCCCCCCCCCAAAAAAACCCAAACAAACCCCAATCTGAATACTAGGAACCTGTATTCCTGAGTATTAGGAACCTGGGAACCTGGGAATACTGATATTTTTCGGCTCCCTGATATCTGGAGCTGGAATCTGCATGTCCCTAATCTGAACCCTCTTGAATACAAGACATAACCCTAGGTCCTCCCCCAGAACTGTGGCAAGATCAGTAGGCTATTTTAACCCCCCCCCCCAATTACATTAATGTAGGAAACATTCTGGAAGCTACATCTGTCCAAATCATCACCCATGAAGAAAAATACCCCCATCTGTAAAAGAGAAACAGTATCCTCCCTCTGCAAGTTTCTTTTGAAAATAAAGGACATTCAGACCATATGGCACTTGGGAGTGTATAAATACAAAGAGCCCACAACTGTCATGGAGACTCAAAATGGAAATACTTTCTGGATCGAGACATATAAGGCCCCTGTATGAGAATGCAGGAAAACACACAACAGTGGAACAGTAGATGCTTCTCACCTTCAACTGTATTGCTCCACTCACTCCAGTGTCCAGCTGTTGACTTGACTCTCACTCGGAAAGTGTGCGGCACATCAGGCTTGACTTGGATTGTTGCACTGTCAGCATCCACTGAGGGCTTAAAAAGGAAAAGACATCCACATGTTGAAAGTCTTTGCCTGGCCTATGAACATTCTGTAAGTTTAAAACATTCTGGGTCTTTTAAAAAGGTATATTAAAAACAAGTGATATTACTGCTGCAAATGGCACTGTGTTTCTTTTATAAGCAACCGTGCATTGTGGAGTAATGTTACAGATTAGACCTCTTGCATTTCTGGTTCTACCACCTGCCAACTAAGGACATATGTCTGTTGAAAGTGACAAAAAAGCAAATTCAGTCTTGGGTTGTATCAAAAGGGCCACAGCATCGAAACCGCAGGAGGTCATAGCACCTCTGTATACTGCCTTGGTCAGGCCGCACCTTGAGTACTTTGTGCAGTTCTGGAGGCCTCGCTTCAAAAAGGATGTGGACAAAATTGAGAGGGTGCAGAAGAGAGCGACAAGGATGATCAGGGATCTGGAGACTGTGCCGTACGAGGAAAGGCTAAGGGTCTTGGGAATGTTTAGTTTGGAGAAGAGGAGATTGAGGGGGGACATGATTGCTCTCTTTAAATATTTGAAAGGATGTCATTTGGAGGAGGACAACAAGCTGTTCCAGTTGGCAGCAGAGGATAGGACCCGTAGCAACGGGTTTAAATTACATGCAGAAAGGTATCGGCTAGATATTAGGGAAAACTTTTTCACAGTCAGAGTGGTTCAAAGGTGGAATCAGCTGCCTAGGGAGGTGGTAAGCTCCTCTTCACTGGCAGCTTTCAAGAAGAGGCTGGATGAGTATTTGTCAGAGATGCTTCAGGCTGGTCCTGCATTGGGTAGGGGGTTGGACTAGATGGTCTGTATGGCCCCTTCCAACCCTATGATTCTAAAAGCTTCTGCCACATTTATTTATTTATCTATCTATCTCCCACCTTTCAGCCCAATGGGGACCCAAAGCAGCTTACATTTTTCTCCTCGCCTCAGTTTTAAATTCTTTAAGGGTGCCACAAGATTCTTTTTTTAAGTTTTGCAACAATAGACCAACACAGCTGCTACTCTGGAATGTATCGTACAGGGCGATTTGCTGTACAGAAGTTTCCAGTAGGGATGTGGACCCTCATCCCAGGATGGTGACCAACGACATGGTGAACCACTTTCGATCTTTAGGAGGCAGCTGAAGATGGTTTGATTTAGGACTGCCATTTGGTTAAGTTTAGTAACAGTCATGAATTGTGAGTTTAAATATATCTATGTTGTAAGCTGCCTCGAGCTCCATAAAGAAAGGCAGTTAATAAATGTTTAAATAAAGAAATAATGCTATCTTTCATAGCACAAGAGCACTGGCACAGGGAGAATGTTTTTAGTGATCAGCGTCATGCTGTCAGCTATGCTGCCATGGGGGTTGGGATGGTCAGGCAGTGTCAGTGTAATTGCTCTTGCATTCCTTTCTGTGCTTCGCGCTGAAACGCTTATCTGTAAAGATGTGCAGGTGGGAGTTGTGGTGTCTGCCTTTTCCAGGGAGCCATGGGAGAGTGCGAGTTCCCAGCTTCAGCTAGCAACGGTTTGCAAGCTTTATCCCGCGCGCGGGAGGGCGCCTAATTGGCCAGTGCAGTGGGGTGTGTGTGCATACGAATACCCTATATCCTATTATGCCCAAGGGGCAGCTGCCATTCTTAACAGTGCCTATGTTAATGCATCTATAGCTCTTCAATAAAGTATTACCTTTCCTACTACGTTGTTGGCTGTGGGTTCTGACACATGCATGCACCAGATGTTAGAAAGTACCAGCACCACCAAGCAACAATATGTCATGTTTGGAAAGACAGATAAGACAGCTCTCCTGATTCCTAAGCAGGCTTTGAAATCCCAATATTTAATTCATTTTAACTGGTTGTCCCATCCTGATAATCCAGTATGAAGAACATTTTAGCATGCTTTAAAGTGAGACATCAGCACATGTGAAAACTGACAAAAGAACACTCCTAGGACAATATTGTTCTCATGCTTATATTCTGCTCTTCTTTGAAAGGCTTGGTACGGCTTACAGGTGGTCTCCCAACCAGGTATGAACCATGCCCACACCTGCACAAACAATGGTACAGCACCAGAAGCTTCCAGACCATTCATTTCAATCAGTTTGAAAATAACCCAATGCCCAAAACGAAGTTGATGGTAACATGCTCATGTGAGTAGGAAGCCCACCACACGTGTGTACAGCTTGATTTCAGAAGGGTGGCCATTCAGTCTGTTGTAGCAAAGTACAACAGGAATCAATTGGCACCTTTAAGACTATTCAAGTTTAGTCCAGCATAAAGTTTCACAGGCCAGAGCTGATGTAGTCAGAGCTTGGAGAACCAGGGTCTCCCATATGCATCAGTGCTGCACACAATTCTGCATAAGCATCTCCCTCCATACAAGATGGTGTTCATGGCCTTGGAAGTGAATAGGAAATCCCCGGCTTACTGGGATGCCCCTGCAGAGGAAAGCTTTGGCTCATGCTTGTCCTGATATTTAAGCTGCAATAGTGGTATTCCTCTTAATGGATGGCCAGGTAATGAATGCTACATTATTATGGAAGTTAAAAATTAAAGAGGTTTTTTTTTTTACAAAGGCATGTAGTTTCTTTCCAGTGCACACCAACAATCACTGAAACACTGTAACTAGTTTAACTGTAAATTAATCAAAATAGCCACTTACCCTATGTTTGTGTTCGTGATCAACTTCTACTTCATAATTCAACCTATATAAATTGACTGGCTTAGTCCATCGTAGAACTACTTCACTGCCATTCTTTGAGTGGAGTGAGAGGACTGGAGGATCTAATTTTACTGAAATATCAAACACCAAGGGGGGGAAATAATGAAGTCCAGCTTCTTCTTTTTTTAAAAAAACACCAACATAACATTAACGCTATTTGTAAGCTTTAAAATAAAACACGAATCAAATATTCTCTAAGAGGCATCTTTCCCATTCAAAACACAATAAAGTCACAGGGGAGGAAGCAGCCCCGCGGAGCTCTGCTGAATTCACTGATCCCAAAGCAACTGGTTTTAGGAAAGAGAGAATTAGAACCCCCCCTCTCAGCCCTATCTGCTCGTACAGGGACCCACATCAACTCACTCTCCCCTCCTCAGCCACAACACAGCACCCTTCTTCTTTGCCACAGCCTGTGCATGCTAGAGGCTTGGTAGTGCTTTCTGTGGTCATTAGAACCCCCCTCTCAGCCCTATCTGCTCGTACAGGGACCCACATCAACTCACTCTCCCCTCCTCAGCCACAACACAGCACCCTTCTTCTTTGCCACAGCCTGTGCATGCTAGAGGCTTGGTAGTGCTTTCTGTGGTCATTAGGATGCTGTGCCCTCAGAGCAGCAGCCCCGGCAAGAAATCTTATCTCTGCCTCTCCCCTGAAACACAGGGCCTCCCCTCACTCAATCTCATCCAAACCTGGGTTGCTCTCCCTCCCCCCATAGCATGGATGACTATCTCAGCTGCTCCCTCACACTAGGGGAAAGGGTATCATGTCGTGAGAGGCATCCTCCACGCCTATGTTCCATTACGACCTCTAAGATCAATCAGGAACAGCCTCTTCAGTCCACCTCCCATGTGCAGAGCTGAGACTGCAAAGACATGTGGACAGGCATGTTCAATGTCACTCTCCTCCACCCCCCCACCCCAAATTCCTTCCTTGTGGAGAACAGCCAAGGCTTGAGCCTTGGCATCTTTGAGAAGTAACGCATGGCTTTTATTAGACGTAGGGAGGATCAGTTCCATTTTAATTATCTGAGCAAGTTTCAGCATCGTTCCCTATTCCAAATGTGTGGCACAGAGTGGACTAAGACCAAATCAATAATTTTAAAAAAATCAAACCAACCTAAACAATTTATTGAACGTGAAAGCCAGCAGATGGGTTGAATGTTCCCAGAATTGCCTTGAATTGAAATAGTGATAAGCTGAACATTCCCGACGATCCATAAAAAACCACACTGAAACTCAGATCCACTGTGAGTGATATTTGTGCATGGCTGTGCTTCGCCGTTAGAGTCAAGCCTTGAGGGAAAGCAACATCAGAAAATCAGTAAATGATAAAGCTTGGTCAGCAATGGCCGCCAACAGACAAGGGAGAAACAAACACAGGAGATGAGAAATCTCAAGGTGCAACGCAGCTAAACTGAAGGAGTGCACTCCTGTTTTATTCATACTTATAGTCTGGGGTTGTGGCCTCCAAAGGCCTGGGCATGCCCAGTAGAACTCCCCCCCCCCCATGACAGCACACCACGACTCATCACAAACTACTCTGAAACTCCCTCAAGTTGAAACCCTTCCTGATGTGGTATGAGGCAGGTAAGATTGTTTCCTTCAATCATATGCCTGGAAGTACTCTCAGTCTGCATGGAAAAACTGGTTGAATCAGTGTAGCGTGACCCAGTCTCCACACACAAAAGTAGGCCTTCAGACACATGCAGGGTACACATTGCTTGATACCAGCCAGTCTTGTGGTGGCAAAAGGTCACTCCTAACACTCATATGTAACCTACTACTTTTGAGCACAGGCAAAGAAATGCTTTACACATCTCACAGCTATGCTACAGCTGCAGGGATGGAGGCAGAAAACAGCATGGCCAAGAGGTGAAAGACAGGAACAGATTTTTCAGGATAAAATTCAACATCTAACATTCCCCACTTTCGCCAAGGGTGTTTTGCATACAAATAGTTCAATTTCACTAGCAACTTGAGCAAAAGAACCTGATTTTGTCCTTTATGAGACAAAGCCAAATATATCAGGATAATAAAAGGCAAACTTGGAGTTTGAAAAGTTCCAAAAATAAACTTCTGTATCACTCTAAAAGGCAGAACATGAACTGCAACAAGGTGGGTCAGCTCCACGGAGAGTGAGACCAGACCAAATTGTCTTCCTTCCTCAGATTTGATGCCTGGTGACGGGCAATTATTTTGGAAATGCTGTTGGCAGGCAAAGGTGGCAGAAAGTAATTAAAATGTATCACCCTTGCCCTGTGACTCTCCCAAATGAATCTTCTGTCTTAAAAGGGAAGATCCTTAACATTATATTAATCATTTTCCATTGTGCCACTCACAATGGATTCCAAAACTCAAATAAACTGGATTAAAACCCCTTGCAGCTCTACACTACAGAGAAAAAGCCTGAGCAGTCTCAAAATTCCCCAGTCATTTTGGAGCCAAAAAAGAATCCTCAAGTACTAACCAGTAGGACATCCTGTAGGAAGTGTCAGGGCTTGCTTTCTCTCCGGCTCGCCATGAACACTTCATGTAGTTCCTATTCAACCAAACGCATGTGACATTTCTGGCTCCGGTACCTGCAGCTCCTGGAAAGGAAAAGTAAGACCATCAAAAGTAAGATTCCTTCCCTCCCTTGCAAGCATTTCTCTTCCATAGTGAGCTTATGAACCTTTGGCACTGCCTGTCTGTAGCGATACATGACTGAAAGTCCAGAAATTGGATTTCTAGCATAGCAGCAGGTTGCTAGCAAGGACTTGTACTTTTTTTTTTTTAACAGTATTTTTATTAAGGTTTTCCAAACATAAATCCAACATACAGCTATTCCTTCACTTCACTACAGATGAGCATATAGCCTCATTTCCTTCCAAACTCTATATACAAAACCATATTCCTAACCCTTCACCTTCAACTTCCAATTATACAATTTTTTCCAGTTTTCTTCGAAAAATGTATCATCTTTCCCCTTTAATGTACATGATATTTTATCCATTTCAGGAATTTCAAATAATTTCTGTATGACCTCTATCTTTTCAGGGATTTTTTCCTTTTTTCCAATACTTGGCAAATAAAATTCTCACAGCCGTTATACAATGCAACAACAAATACTTTCCCATACATCTCTGGAATCATATTAAGTAGACACAACTCTGGTTTAAGGGGAATAGGAACTCCCACAATTTCTTGTAACATTTTACTTATCATCTTCCAGTATTCCTTTGCCTTGCTACAATTCCACCACATATGGAAAGGACTTGTACTGATAAAATTCTGTAACCAAGGACAAATCATACCAATTAAAATATCTGCACACATTTGTTTTGCTTTTCCTTTCAAGGAAGGAAGTGGGAAGATGAAACCGCACAGTGAGTGGGGAGCAGGGGTCAAAGGTGGCCAGAAGTGGCAGGTGTGGGAAATGAGAATGATAAAACCAGTAATAACATTATGCCATGGGTGTCAAATTTAAGGCCTGCAGGCTGGAAGCGGCCTGCCCATGGCTTTACTCAGGCCCATGGCTCCACCACCCCCCGCCCTCACCCTTTGAAGCTTGAGGCTGCTGAAGTTCCCAGCTCCCTCAGTCTTGTCTTTGCTTGTCTTGTCTTTGCTTTGGCAGGAAGCTCTTCTGGGCTTGCAAAGTTACAAAGAAAATATGGAATGGTTTTTTCCATTAAAGTCTCTGCACCCAGATAGAGTACACTGGGATTGTTTCCAGCAATAGAATTTGTGTTCTGGGACTGGAATGGCAGCCCCCAAAGTTGAATTACAGTCTCTGAGCAATAGAATCTGTGTTCTGGGACTGGAATGACTGGGCGCAGAGTGAAATGACAACCCCTGGGAGTAGCAGCAGCATTCTGGGAATGGAATTCCACTCTGGGGGCCCTCATCCCAATCCCAGAACGCTTCTCCTACTCCCAGGGACTGTCATTTCACTCTGGTGGCTGTCATTCCAGTCCTAGAGTAGCCTATGTGGACCCAGAGACCTTAATGGGAAATCGATTCCACAGTTTCTTTGCAACTTTGTCTGTGCTGCAATGTATTTCAATTGACTGGAGCTCAAGAAGTTTCATTTTCCAGTGTTTGTAAAGTTGAAGCTGTTGTTTGATGGAGTTGTCTCCTTGCAAATACAGGGTTGATGTTTTGAGCCAGTTTGTCTCTGCTGAATAGACCTCAGAATGGGTGCCTGAGTGAGTACTTTAACCTGGGAACCCACAGCCAAAGGGGGACATTACACTGGAGAGCCACTGTCACTCTCCATATATATGGGGGACGGGAGATGCTTACAATGCACAGCCATTTTATATTCATAGGCTCAGAGCATTTTATATTTTTAGTTTCTGCTGTGACCCTTATGATTTTTTTTGATGTTTTATTTTAAAAACTGCATTGCTAAACCCCACTATTCCCCCATCTTTCCATTTTAGGCAGGCATCTTTTTTAGGGGAGGTAGGTTTGAGAGGTGTCAGTTATCAAAGACTGTTAAATAAACAAAATATTGCAAAAGTTTTAAGCATATTTGTATTTTAAGTAAAAAAATATTATCTTTAATTGTGTTTCTACCTTTTATGAAGTTTATATCTCTGCTACCTGGCATTACATTTTATGACACGCATGGCCTGGCCCCACAATGTCCCATTTATGTCAGATCCAGCCTTTGTAACAAATGAGTTTGACACCTCTGCTCTATGTGGTCTCTTCTGGCATGAAGAGCATTCACTAGACATAATCCAAACAATTTAAGGGTATATTTTGCCAGCTCTGAAATCTAAAACGTGTTGTGATTTTGCTATGGCCCAGTGGTTTTTAGGGTGATCTTATATTGTATATTGTGTTATTATATTGTATTGTTTATATTTTTATGTCAGCCGCCCTGAGCTGGCTTTGCTGGGAGGGCGGGGTAAAAATCTAATGAAATAAATAAAATAAATATTTTTTCAGGTTTTTTTTAACGTTTTATTCTACTGATTTAATTTTTTTTTAATCCCGCATTTCCTCCAAAACTTTTTAAATGCAAAGAAAGGTCCTCAGCCCTGGCCTTGACTCTCCCCTTCCTTTAGAGTATTAATGGATTAATTAATCCATTAATTAATTGGGTCGTATCCAATGTTTACCCTTCTGCCAGAGTGAGGCTTCTTTCACCCTAGTAAGTGGGAGTAGTTGGATTTAACCCTGTGTGGGTTGCAAGATCACGTAAGATCGTTTACCCCAGCTTGGATGCTATTAAGAAGCAGGTTTCCCCCTGCTTCCCCACAGCACTGTGTCACTTCCATGTGCCTCTGGGTTTTCCCCTGTCTTTTGTGCTTTGCTGTGATGCTTTGGGAAAGACTGCTGTATAGCTGGGGTGGCAACCATGAGGATAGGAAAGCTGCCATCTCATTATAGCTTTATAACAATCAGGGTCTCTGCATCCCCAGCTTTCATAAACAAAAAGTAAGTCTCTTACCCCTTTTATTATGGACATGTGCCTTTCCCTTTATATCACCACAATGAAACAGGCTAGAGACTTGAGGGGGAGAACTGGGAATTCAGAGAACCTGTTAGACATATTGTTGAACTGCTATATTACTATAATGAAATGTCAAATAATCATTAAAAAAAAACATGTGTTGGTACAGAGTTGGAGGGTAGCCACTCTTGAGGGACTAGGGCAGGGAACATGCAGCAAAACCTGCCATATGAAGCCCCATTGCTGCTGTGTTGTATTGGCAGTCACAGCAGCAGTGGAAAAACCACACAAGTTTATTACCATCTGGAACTGGTCAGGGCCAGGCAGCTCTTCTGGCTTCCTTAGGCGCATGGTTGTCTGAGAAAGAGGGGGGGGGAGTCTTGGCCTAACGCAGCTCAACAGGTAGTGTGAGAAATGTCTGAACTCACTTATGCTATCATACAACTGTTAGTTGTGTCAGTGACATGTGGGTAGTGGAAATTCCCAGGGAGCTGCATCTAAAATAGCAGCAGGCTGGTGAGGCATTGGAATTTTGCACATCTTACTGGTAATAGCCCCAATAACAATTTCTGTAGTCTCCCAAAGCCTGAATGACAACCCTACTAGGGCTTACTGACAGGGTGGTAACTTAAGACCCTTAGGGTGCGTTCAGACGCGCCGTTTCAGCCGGCATAAACTGCTCCGGTTGGAACCGTTGCAGTTTATGCTGGCTGAAACGCGATCACACTTACCTCCTGTCTGCGGATCCCATCACTGTATGCCCGGTCACATGCAGCGGGCGTCGGCGTTTTTTTCTTTTTTTAAAAAAACTCAGTTTGAGCATGCGCATAGGCAGCCATCCACAGAATGGCGATCTTTGCGCATGCGCAAAAAACCCCGTCTTACATTTAAACTTTAAAGGTAAGGACTTACCTTTAAAGTTTAAATACCAAACTGGCCTCCCTGAAGTCCCGGACTCCTCCAAAACGTTAAACTAAGGACCTTTTAAAAAAAAACAAAAAAAACAAATGCCAGGGCGAAGCTTTGCCCAAGCGCATATTGCCGACCTTTAAAAAAATGGTGGGCGAAAATCGGAGGCCTGAGGCTTCCGAACGGAAGTGGCTCTGCAACGGTGGAGAGCGATCAGACGGGGGGGGGGGTTAAAGCGATTACATCCATTGTACTCAGGATACCACCATTTGGGGACCTAGTGGCAGAATACAACGGTGTAAAGCTCTTTGCAATGGTTAGGGATGGAAGGCGTGTGAACGTGTGAATGCCGGTAAGTACACCGATTCCAACCGGCACCTATTCCGTTGCAAATGCCCCGTCTGAACGCACCCAAATTATGTGGTAACAAACCCACATTTGTAGCCACGCATACACTCTTGCTGGAGATGAAAGGGTATAGTGCAGAGACTTATGGAGGAAACTGAGCAGAGAAAAGTGCAGAACGCTGGATATAACAGCTGGGCAGATGCAAATCAGCAGACGTTAAAAGATATTTTCTTAAACCTTTGGAGAAATACTGGTATCATACTCAAGGCATATCTAAAGACTTACCATATTGTACATGATGTACAACATCATAATTCCTGGCTGATACATCCTCACAATTTTTCTGGCAGGAGGTTTCAACATCAAAAGCAATTTTTTCACCCAGAGCCACATTCTCTTCCCAATAAGTGTTTTTTAAGCATCGTTCCTAGGATGAAAAATTGTATTAATCTCAATATTCCCTTGGAAAGCTACATGGGAAAATTTTATAGTGAACTCTCATGAAGAACTAGTATCAACAGAATGTTAATCTCACTGGTTGCAACCTCACACTCTGGAGACAATTTATATATTCAGTTGCCAAGTGCTGAGATAACCTAATACTCACAAGGATCACAGTGGTAACACTCAACTGTAACAAAACCATACTGTGTAAAATCTGGCTATATATATTATAAATAATGTCACAGGATCAAGTGTAACATACAAACCATATAAACTGTAACCAGGGGTCTTGTTGTAGAAAAAGAGCTGCCGGAGCTCATTAGCATAACTCATTAGCATAAATTATTTGCATATGCCACGCCCCCTGACATCACCGGAAGTGACAGAAGGCCACACCCCCTGACATCACCGGAAGTGTGTCAGAAGGCCCGGCTACTTACCCTCCTGCTTCATCCTCATTCCCAAACGGAATGAGGATCGAAGCAGAGGGCGGGGTAAAGAAGGGGGCGGGGCTTCACCACGTGACCGCCCCGCCCCCTAGAGGTTCTCTTCCGGAGCTCCGTACCTGAGAGCTCCCCCCCGACTAGAGCCCTGACTGTAACATACCAAACTTACCAGATAGAGCATGAGGTTGAGGATGCTATATCCTGACTGGAAAGATAAGAAGCAAGAGATATGCATTCCACAGGACTGTTGATTAGAATCATTGCCCACTTTTAGGCAGTGATACGACTAGAGACAGTTTAAACAAAGCATTTGGCATAACTTGCAGGTTGCCACCCGAGAGAGGAGTGATTCTTGATAAAGAGTTTGTTGAAATGGAGATGGCTATATGTAGAATCACAATTGGAAGTTTCCTTTAACCAGTGAGATAGAGAGAAGCATATATATGGACTTACCTGTTCAGAGCTGGTAGTTGAAAATGATATGATTTATTCATATGGTGGAAAACGGTGGAATGTTGGAACTAATTATACGATTGTACGTTGCTACTGCATGTTTATGATATTAGTTATATTTAAAGAGTATGTACACTATACTGATTTCTTACTGCATGTTGTATGATATTACTGATACTCAATTTTGTATCTTACACTTAATTCTGTGACACTGTTTACAATGTATATAGCCAGATTCTACATGCTGTGGTTTTGTTATTGTTAAGTGCTGAGATAAGACATCACGTCATAGACAAGCACATGTGAAGGGGAGGTCGTAGTAATTCTGGGGCCCTGGGAAAAACCCAAGGATCAGGCCCCAGAATCACTCAGCATGAGGGTGATCAGCTTGATGGTGGTGGGGGTCCCTTGACCACCCCTCAGTTGATTGTCCCCACCACCCTCCACCCGTGCCGCCTGAGACTTGGGGCAGTGGGGGAAATCAGCAAGGACTGCCGCAATGGGGGCTTCCAGGCAGCAGATGGGGCAGTTAGCTGGAGGGTGGGGCTTCCAGCAAACTCTCCCCAATACAAGGCTCACAGCAGCTGCCCAGGATGCCCTGTGGTGAAGAAGAAGAGACGGGATTTATACCCTGCCCTTCTCTACCCAAAGGAGTCTCAGAGCGGCTTACAATCCCCGTTCCCTTCCCCTCCCCACAACAGACACCCTGTGAGCAGTGTTCCCTCTAAGCTGAGTCAGTGTGAGCTAGCTCACAGTTTTTTAGCCTCCGGCTCACACATTTTTGTCTTACCTCAGGGAGGATGGCTCCAGAGCAAACTAATTTATGCAATAGCCATATCACTTGCCCACACCTTTTAATGCCAGTAGCTCACGAAGTAGAGTTTTTGCTCAGAAGACTCCACAGCTTAGAGGGAGCATTGCCTGCGAGGTAGGTGGGGCTGAGAGAGCTCTTTCAAGAACTGCTCTTGAGAGAACAGCTCTGAAAGAATTTATAACTCACCCAAGGTCACACCAGCAGCTGCATGTGGACGAATGGGGAATCAAACCTGGCTCTACCTGATTAGAGTCCGTACTCTTAACCACTACACCAAACTGGCTCTGCATGTGTGAGCAACTCAAATACAAATACAAAACCTGTATTGGCATAAAATATCAAATACAATGTACAGCATAGAGCCTCAAGATAGGCCAGGGGGGTGGTATCACATTCCGAATTGCCTTAATATGAGCCTCTCCTCCTAGATACCTCATAAAATAAATTTGCTACAGGTTCAAGAATTTCTATATTATGTGAAGACAATAAACAAATAATTTTATACTCATCAGGTTGGCCCAAAAGGGGGTCCAACACAGGTTCAACATAAGCAACACGGATGTCATAGTGGAATTTACAGTACAAAAGCAAATGTCTAATAGATTCAATTTCCCCCATCCCACATGGGCACAATCTATCTTTATAAGGAATTTTCTTGAACCTTCCCAATAAAACAGCTGAGGGAAGGATGTCGAACTGAGCTAGCATGAAAGCCTACGAAGATGGGGCTGAATTAGTCTTGCCAGATATCCTGAGGAAATGTGGCTGAAAGAGAGTTCCATACTCAAGGAAGAGCAATGTCTGTGCGCAAGTCTTCCCAGATCTTGCACCTCTATATCGAGGAGTCTTTGTTTGAGTAAGGCAAAAGCTTTCTGCTCAGACAAAGTACCAAATCATCAAAACTAAAGCCAATTATAGAATTTCCCCCCTCTATATTAATCAGCCAAATCAATAGATGGGATTCTGTTAACATGTGTACCACAAGACTGTTTGGCCAATAAAACTCACTGTCTGGCCAATAAAACCTCTGGCTTTGATGTCACATGGTGAGCCCAATTTAACCTCTTTTCCTGGCTGTGGGGAGAGATGGTGGTAGCAGGTAAAATTAAACTGAGACTTCCAGATTCTGCAGAGTCATTTTTCTTGACCCTTATTTCACCACCACTTCCTTATTTATTTATTAAATTAGTCTTTTAAATTGCCCTCCCCTGTGGGACAGGGCTCAGGGTGGTGTACACCAATAAGAGACAGTCATATATTAAATCCACAGTATTTGGCCTAAGCAGATGGCACTAAAGACTTCCGGGGGGGGGGAGGAACAGGAGTACCAGGCAGATGGAAACTGTCGCTGTCCTCAACCAAACACCTGGCAGAACATCTCTGCCTTACAGGCCCTGCAGAATTGCATTAAATCCCTCAAGGCATGGATGTTATTTGGCAGGGAGTTCCATCAGGTTGGAGCCAGGACAGAGAATGCCCTAGCTCTGGTTGAGGACAGTCAGATATCTCTCAGGCCATGGACCACCAGTAAGTTCTTATCTGCTGAGCACAATGCTCTTGGGGGGGGGTATACAAGGAGGTGTGATCCCAAAGGTATGTGGCTCCCAGACCATTTAGGGTCTTAATGGTTAACAACAAAACCTTGAACCTGACCCAGAACTCCACCCAAAGCCAATACAGCTCACACAACACAGGTTGAATGTGTCCCATTCGCGGGGTCCCCGTAAGGACCCACGCTGCCACATTCTGGACCAGTTGGCGTTTCTGGGTCAGTCTCAAGGGCAGCCCTGCGTAGCTAATCTGGAGGTGACTATAGCATGGATTATTGTGTCTAGGTCAAGGTGGGACAGGTAAAGGGTCAGTTGCCTGGCCTGGTGAAGCTGGAAAAACACCAGTCTTGCAACATTTGTGATCTGGGCCTCCATTGATAGGAAGATATCTGGAACCACACCCAGGCTCCTGACAGTTGGTACCGGTGTTAAGGGCACACCATTAAGAGCCAGGAGTTGGCACCCCAGACCTGTGTCCTCCCTACCCAGCCACAGAACCGCCATCTTAGCAAGACTCAGTCTCAGCCAGCTCTGTTTCAACCATCTCACTACAGCCTCCAGCCCCTCAGCCAAATTTACTGGAGTGGTATCTGGCCAGTCACCCATCAACAGCTATAGCTTGGTGTCATCAGCGTATTGGTGGCATCCAAGCCTGAAACTCCGCACCAGTTGGGTGAGAGGGCACATGTAGATGTTAAACAACATTGGAGAGAGGATTGCCCCCAGAGGAACCCATCATACTAATGGGTACCTAGTTGACACCCTGTCTACCAGGGCCACCCTCCGTCCCTGACCTTGGAGAAATGAGGTAAGCCATTTCAAGACTACCCCATGAACTCCTGTGTCAGGGAGGTGGTGGGTCAAGAGACTGTGACTGACCATGTCGAACGCTGCTGTAAGATCAAGCAATAGCAGCAATGTCAACCCGCCCCAATCCAGCTGTTTGCGGAGATCATCTGTGAGGGAAACCAAAGCCATCTCTGTCCCATGGCCAGGATGGAAACCAGACTGGAATGGGTCCAGTGCCAATGTGTCATCCAGGAATCTCTGGAGCTGCTCTGCTTCAAGGAGCATACTGTCGATGGAATGGAAGGAGGGGAGGTGGGAAGAAGGGAAGGGAAAAATAAGGTGACTACCAAAGTCCTCAATTTCATAAGAATTGCTGTACCTGTATTGAAATTTTTTAATTTATTTATACTATTAGCTAGGGAATGATGGAATCCAAAGGACTAGGGATTTTACTAAAAGTTCACTTACTAAATCTTCACTGAAGTCTGTGGCATCTGTGCCGCTGCAGCTCTTTTCATCGATATGGTAAGTCACATTATACGGCAGACACTCTATAATAGATATTAGTGATTAATAACATGTTAACAAGAGGAATGCCAGCAGTAGGAATCCTACCTAAGCATCTTGATTAAGGAAATAAATAAAACAAATCCCCTCCACCCAATAACTGATGATGAAAAGGCAGGAAGTTAAGACATCCTCCAGTCACTGCTCCTGCTTTTGTTTTGTCTGAGTCGAGTCAACCAAATCTTTCTAAAGGTCTACCAGATTCATATATTGAATATCTGCGTTTGCTTTTCTCCCCCCCCCCCAAATACAAGATTGGCTAGATTCATTAAATATACCTAGGCTATGTAGGATTTTCCTTTTTTTAAAAAGTCTTGTAAAGGGCATCATCTTCGAGTTTATAACACCATTATCCCGGGAATAAACACCAGTGGGATTACTTCGGAGTAGACAAGCCTAAACTCAGACCGCGGTTAGTGCAGCCGTGCTAACACACAACCGACCACGTTAAATTCAAAGTTGCCCCAGTCCCCACGTCCACGGGACCACAATTCCCCCTCGCTGCCCCTTGCGGGGGACACAACTGCCTTCTCCTCTAACACCCCCCAATCCCGGTGGTAACTCTCGCCTCCCCTCTCCTGCTCAAACCTCCGTTACTCTTCACCTCGGATGACAGCCCCGGCGAAAGCGATGAGCAGCAACTCCCGGGCCTCCATAGACGCTCCGTTCCGTCCCTCCCTTCACTTCTGATCGTCTGGAGGGCCGGCTTAGACGGGAAGGACTATTGTCATCAGAGCCCGCCCCGCCGCTTGCAAAAACAGGGGCGTGACGGCTGGGGCCTCCGCGTTGACTTCGCTCCCATTCGTTTCTCCGAGGCGTCTCGCGTTCAGGAAGCAACATGCCCCAGTTGGTTGGGAACGACCAAGGAGCTTCCTCTCGCGACGTCCCCCGTCCCCCCCTTTGGGCAACTTTATTTGCGCGCTTTAAAAAGAGAGAGTTAAAAGGATACCGAAAAGGCTGTTTTGTTGAGATAAGGAACAGATTCAACACGCACACCAACCCCCACAAGAACGGAGGGGAAACATACTGTAAGTGAAGGGGGAACACCAAGCAACCCACGCCCCGCATATATATTTTTTTGCCTGTTTAATGGCCGCGTGACTTACGCGCGTTCGGCCACCACCCATCTATAGGGGGTGGTGGTTCGACACGTAAAGCTTTCGCGCTTATTCACAGCGCCTGAATGGAGGCGGCGGCGGGGATGGTGGGAAAGACGCACCCGAGGGGTTAAGATGGCGTGTCCCAAGTGGAAGGGGATTCAGTGATTCCCTGAGGAACCCAAACCCTCCACGATCAGATACAAGTAGGAGTCCGACTTGGAGAAGTGAAAGTAAAAGGTTTTATTCACAAACAAGTGGGAGCAGTCTACTCCTGTAGCGAACTACCGTTTGACAGGAGGCTGAAGTTGGTTCCTTATTTGCAGTTACTTATTCATTCCTTATTCATGAATTCATCCAGAAACACTGAGGCGAGTTGGAAAGCTCTGAACCCCAAAATCAGGTCTGGAACACCTCATATCATATACCTCCAGGATCAGGGGACTCTCCCCTTCAAGAAGTTATATCCTGTTACCTGGTCCAAAGCCTGGTTCTTGTGCCAGCTGCTCCAAAGCGCAGTGCCACCAGGACAATCACACAGGCAGACACTGGGGCCTGGCTGCACCCACAAAACAATCTTTGGATGAAATGTCCTGGGTTCAAGAAGCATAGACAAATTATTTCAGCTCATGATTTATTCGTAGGTAGAAACTGAGACAAGAAAGCAGGGCCCAGGGGCCTGCTTATATGCTGGTTCCAAACCACACCCAGCACACACCCAACACCCGTGATAGGTCTATTTACAGTGCCCCCATAACCATAGGTTCATTCTAGGAACCAGATTGGCCGATAGGTCCGTGTGTCCATTGTTCTAAGTCGTGACCCTCCGTGCGTTTGCTAGGCTATGTGTGAGGCTGACCGTGGGCATGGTCCTTTGTTAGGACATAACATTGGACCACCACAAATGACACATCACCACACTCTGGGGACTGTCCCCTGCAAGGAGACATACAGCACTGCCCAGTCCAAACACTGGTTCTGGCCCCAAACCCTTCTATTTGGAGTGCCTCCAAGAGGCCTTTTTTCTGAGGAAATTTGAATAAGGAACTGGTTGCCCTTTGGCAACCAAACCAAATAAGGTTTGGACCACCACACTTCATACACCCTCATGAACAACAGCCTCTCCCCTTCGAGGGGGTAAATGCTGCGTCCAGGTCCAAAGTGCGGTTCTTGTGCCAGCTTCCCAAAGTGCAGTGCCCCCAGGATAATCACACGGGCAGAAACGGGGGCCAGGCTGCACCCACAAAACAATCTGTGGACCATCCCAAATGACACATCCCCAGACTCTTGGGTCTGTCCCCTGCACTGCCCAGTCCAAACACTGGTTCTGGCCCTACACCCTTCTATTGGGGGGGGGCCTCCAGGAGGCCTGTATTTCAAAGGAGATTTGAATAAGGAAGTGCCCTCTGCAGCCAAAATAAGGTTGCGACCCACACACTTCATACACCCTCCCCTTCGAGGGGACATATATTGTGCCCTGGTCCAAAGCCCGGTTCTTGCACCAGCCACTCCAAAGTGCGGAGTCCCCAGGACAATCACACAGGCAGACCCTGGGGCCAGGCTGCACACACAAAACGATCTGTGGACCACCCCAAATGACACAGACTCTGGGGACTGTCCCTTGCAAGGAGACATATAGCACTGCCCAGTCCAAACACTGGTTCTGGCCCCACATGGTTCTTTTGGGAGTGCCTGTATTTCCAAGTACCTTGGAATAAGGAACCACTCCCAGTGAGTTTCCAGCAGGACAATCACATAGGCAGACCTTAGGGTGAAGGTCATTCCCTTGCTGAATGAGTTTTAATACTCAGAGAAGCTTCAAATACAGAGAACAAACTGAGATGGCTGAATTTGAATCCATTCCCAAGTTCACAATCCATCAGGGCTTGATGTGTTCTCATCATTATCATCATCATCATCATCATCACAACCTTTATTGGCCTATATCGGAACACAGGTAGAAGCATTAAACAGATAGGGAGGTAACAAGGAAAAATGAGCCAATCATATGCAACTAGACATTACGCAATCGATCCTTGATTACCAGATTTGGGAATAAGGTTATTTTGGGTGACGAATCATTCAGAAGATGGTGCACCTTCAAAGTATCTGGCCAGCCTATCATATTAGATAAAACTGGGTCTAAAAAAGTAGAACATATATCATCATATTGGGAACAATACAGTAAAATATGGAGGACCGAGTCAACTTGCACAAAGTCTTGTTGAATATGGAATCCTATTATATCAGCCATAAATAACTGCAGATGGAATAGTGTTGCATCTAGCAAGTGCAAATGCTCTGCGCAATTGTGGAGAGCTGATAAATAAGAAGGTGAATGGATTCTATGTTTGATTAACTGATATGTGTTTGTAAAAGGGAGCATATATAGGGAATCCATGGATAAGTCCATAAATAAATAAATAAATAAATAATAAGCCCATTGTAATTATTTTCTTCTCTATGTAGGCAATCCATTTGGACAAGGTGGATTCAGACAGCATTTGGTATAAGTAGCTCCTGCAGTCAGCAAAGTAGTGCACTCGTAGCCAGTGTTTAATTGATATAAGCCATGTTCTTGTTTCTATCATATTAAGGCCTGTTTCTAAACAGAGAGCTGCGTATGAGACGCAGTGTGGCAGACCCATAAGTTTCCTAACAAATTTGGATCGAACTCTTTCAATTCCAGTCTCGAGGGCACTTATCCATGTTGGAATGCCATACAATAGCTGTGGGATCACTTTAGCCTTAAAAACTTTTAGAGCAGCTGGAACAAATTGTTTGCCTCTATTAAAGAAGAAACATGAGATGACTGATGCATTGATAGAAGCTAAGTTAATCATAGCTTTGCGATGGCAAGACCAGGACATGTTATAACTGAAGTGGAGACCTAGATATTTAAAATGCTTAACCTGCTCGATTTCTTTTCCGTCAGATGTCCATTTTTGAATTTTACAGGACTTAGCGAATACTAAAAACTTTGATTTCTCATAATTCAGGAGTAATTTATTCTCAAGAAAATAACTAAGACATCTGTTCAGACATCTGAGCCCTACCCTCGTGCAAGAGAGTAGTACTGTATCATCCGCATATAGCAGGATGGGTACACAAAGGGTTCCCAATTTAGGAGAATGATAATCTTCTACTAAAATTGGGGCCAAATAATTGAGAAATAGATTAAATAAGAAAGGAGCAAGTATGCATCCCTGTTTAACTCCATTGTTAAAGGGAATTTTTTGAGTTAATTCCCCTGCGGCTGAACATTTGATTTGACAGGTGGTGGAGGTGTGTAGCATTATGATTAATTTGAGAAGTCTCTTGTCAATATCTAGTTGGTGCAGTTTAGTCCATAGTAACCCTCTATCAATTGAGTCAAATGCTCCTTTAAGATCCAAAAAAGCTGCATAAAGTTTAGAGTTTCTAGATGTAGTGTATTTATCAGCTAGATGTGCTAAGGTAATACAATGATCTATTGTAGATTTTCCTTTGCAGAGCCCAAGTTGTTCACGGCCTAAAACACTTTGCTGAGACATCCAGAAGGTTAATTTGGTTAGTAGATGCTTGGCATACAATTTGCCTATGATGGAAAGGAAGCTAATTGGTCTATAGTTAGAGGGAACTGTGTAGTCACCTCCGCCATGTGTCAGGGATAAGTCCTGTTTGATTAATCATAGTAAAGAGGGAAACAAGAGGGACAGCCCACCATTCTGGGTCCATCTTTAAAAGCTCTGGGGGAATCAAATCAGGGCCAGGACCTTCCCAGTCTTCAGTTGATTAATTCTATTATTTCATCAGGGGGCACAGGTGGCCAATCTGGTAGGTCCTCATCGCTAAAATCATATGAATTACCAAGAACAATCTTGATTCTGCTGAAACAGATCAGAAAAGTACTGTAATCATACACGATATGAAATCGCAGACATGGGAGAAGGTCCCGCGTGTAAAGACCCTGAAACTATGGCCCAAAACTTCTTGGATTTATTTAAAACAGTAGCTTGGTATAGTTTTCCCATTGGTTGTTGAAAAACTGTAGCTTGGTATAGTTTTTCCCATTGGTTGTTGAAAAACTCTTTCTTCTTTTCCATGCTCACCTGTAGCTGTTTTTTTACCTGAAAATACTTTGAGAGGAGGGCAGAATCATTAGAAGTTCGAAACTGGCTATAGATGTTATGTAATTGAGATTTTAATGCTCCGCACTCTACAGGATACCGAGGTTTGGTGCCCCTATTACTCTTGCTTGTAGACTGATTAATGTTTGTACAAAGTGCCTGGGAAAAGTGGGAAATCAAGGTGTTATATGATGAGATCTTTAGAGTAGGTTCCATATTATCAATTAAAGAACCTCTTAGATCAAGAGTAGGTCCGAGTTTAAGCAAACGGGGGGTTGCCTGAATGGAGTGTTCATTCCAAAAAATTTTTGGTAAGATTTCTGGCTCAGAGGTCAGGGGGGTAAATGGGTAGGAAAAATCAAAAGAACTAATTTTAAGGGTTAATATCAGGGGGAGATAATTGCTAGCAATGAAATCCCCTACCTCAAAATTCAGAACATGAGGTTCCAAAACAGGGGACACTAA